AGCCCCGTGCCCGTGTATGCGTCCGTGCTCTCCCTGCGTCCCGGGGTCCGCTGCTACGAGGGCTGGACGCCCATGGCCCTGGAGCTCGTCTGGACACCGTCGGACCCGAGGCCGTTGGAGGCCCTAGAGAAGCCCTCACACCACACAAACCTGCGCGGCTGCATCGTCAACATGGCCTACACCTCGTCACCACCGTTCGTCACCATAACCCCCTTAGGGGTGTACGGGGTAGACTTCGACGTGGCACACTTCTTCGCGCACGGCAGCAATGCTAGCCTAAACGTTCTGCACGATCGGAATGGGTCACGAAGCTTCAACAACGCATACAAGGAAAGTGAAAATGAGAGTTATTACACTAAGAAAAAGAGGGAAGCTACAGACAGCAACTATCGTTAATATTAGAACTGTACAGAGTATGGCTAGCTATGCAAACTTTCACAGCAGTTTACCAAAGATCGTAATGTGAAATGGCTCTGCTAAAATATATTTTAGTACTTGGCATTGGCATATCTATATGCGAATCTAGCCACAACCATACTTTGAAGTTGGTCCCTTGACGTCAATAAGATGGTTGTTACGGGCTTACAGTTTCCAGGGTGTAGTTACTCTGTGCCAGACCTATAGCAGGTGCACCTGCTAGTCCATGGACTAGAGCGAGACGCAGAAAACATTTTCTCTTGACACTGCAGACCCAACAGCTCATAGAGACTGGAGCGGCCGACATTGTGTTCGGAGGTCTGTACCCGAGCCCAAGTACACGAGGACTGCTTGCCTACAGCGACCCGTACGCCTACAACGCGGTCCTGTGCTATACGCTCCGGAACCGAAGGCTCCCAAGGTGGCAGTACCCTTTCCGAGTGATATCGGTAAAGGTGTGGGCCAGCCTCATAGGCCTACTAGTCGTGGTGGGTAAGTGAGAGTGAGAAGTCGAGGACTGACGTAGAAGTGCAAGTCTGTACTTTCCTATACTCGTCTTTTTCTCACAGTAACGGCCATGCAGCACTCCAACAGCCGGGGCTTCGTGGCCAACACCATGACCGCGGCGGGCGTGCTCTGGGAAGGCAACCCCAGCCCACACACGTACACCGGACGTACCGCCCTCTACGTCTTCCTGTGGACCCTCTTCTGTCTCCACTTCAACCCAGCCTACCGAGCAGCACTGGCCATGGCAAACGTCCACTCTCTGGAGGAACCAGGACCGACCGAACTAGATGACGTAAAGGTGAAAGAATATTTCATTTTAAACCCAGCGAAACCGTCCCTGTACACAAGTGTTGGTTTTTCTTACAGCGGGTCATTGTGTCGTCAGCTGATTCAATACCCCTGGTGAAGGAATATCCCAAACTCAATAAGTTATTGCACCTTGTTGAGTTTTGCAAGGGACCTTCAAGCTGTGCTAAAGAGTTTAGGCGCGATATGAAGAACTCGGCCCTGATCATATCAGGATGGACGTACTGGTAAGATTCTCCACATAGGATGAGGACAAGTTTGGATCAAAGCGAAGTAATTGTAGTGTATGCCCAGGTGCTATAAACGAATCCTCCTGGTGGACGAAGATGGACGATCCCTCCTCAAAGACCAGAACGATCCACTAGCGGCCTTCCACATCAGTGCCCTGATCGCGAGGGACTCGCCCATCGCGGTGACGCTGAACCGCATCATGGCCATCGTATGGCAGTCGGGGATGATCAAAACGTGGGGACTTGACCACCGCAGGAAAATACAGAGCCTTGTGAGTCGTGCAGGCCGTCCGGAGATACCCAAAGCTTTACAGAGATTTGGTTGCAGATAAGTTCAAAGTTATTGCGACGAAGTTACTTCTTCGGCGGGACTCAAAGTTTAATACGCCGTAGTCTGATCACATACAACAGACCTCTAAGAAGTAATATGCGTTGCTTCGCGCGCTTAGTTCAAGGTGGACCTGAATATGGTGCTGCGGTCGTACCGCCCGCATCCCCTCGGCGTACACCAAATCCTAGGGCCGCTGAGCATCCTGGCCGCCGGGCTCCTGTTGTCGACGGTCGCCTTCCTCTGCGAGGTGCGGCTCCACGAGCGCGACAATCAGCCAGTTCAGCAGGACGACCAACCGGATCTGAGGTCGCTCAGGTGCACTACCCACACCCGAGTTCAAAACCCCACAGTGTGAAACCTAGCTGGCTGATGTCGAAATAAAGAAGCAATACTTCTAGTTGGGCATAGACCAGACATTTCTCATTACTTCGCACAGAGTAGGACAGGATCGAACGTGATTTGTTTACACAGATTTCCAATCAAAGTACGACGGCATACACTCTGGAGTCGAGGTTGCAGTAAGAGGCGTGAGATCGATGGTGGCGCGCCACACTACTCCCGCGCCGCCAGGCACGGACATGCACCTGCCGTGGGGCCTGGGCCTGGTCCTGGTGGTTGTCGGCTCGGCCGGCGCCCCCTTATGCACCGACACCCGGTTCCTCGTCGACATCCTCGACGCGCAGCGGTCGCTCTACGGCTACCGACACCTCCTGGTGCTGCACGCCGATGGCCCACCGCGGGACGTGGTGTGTCGCGAGGAGCTGATCCGCATGCACAGCAACTACACCATCCTGATCCACACCGGCTCCATAAGCACCAGAATTGTGGTGAACTTTGTGGAATGAGTACGGCGGAAACTGGGAATTGCAACCACATTCATTATTTTGTAGCTTTTTTACACTAAAGTTGGCGTAGTAACTACCAAAGCTAGTAGCGAAACATTTTCCTTGTACCGTAATTGAGGAAAAGGTTCGGCAGCACAATTTTGTTTTTTAAGTTGTTCGCAAATGCCCTAAACTCTAAATAATATGTATCGAAACTTGGCCTTCCTTGTCCTAGTTTAAACCTTTAGCACGGCCTTTTCTGTGTTGTAGCGCTGGATCCAGATGAAGGTCGATCTGATCGTCGTTATGCTGGGGACTGCTGGGACGGACATTTACAACACCACGGTCATTGCGAGCTCGACACTGGGAGCCTTCAAGCACCGCACGCCTATCCTCGTCATCCACACAGCTGAGCTGGAGCCGGGCGGCGAACCAGAAGGCCGCGCGGACGTGGACACGATCGTCGCGGCGCTCCGGGTCACGGGCTGGATGCACACGATCATCGCGGTGCAGAGGCACACCGGCAGCCGCCTGCAGAAGGTGCCGGTGTACCTGTCGCAGCCCGGGTTCGTCCCGGGGGCGCGCTGCGGCTTCGGGCCCTCCACGACGACGCTGGCGTTGACGTGGTCCGAGGGCGCAGCCCTCGGCGAGGACGCCGTCCGCTTCCTGGAGCCTCGCAGAAAGGTTGCGTTTAACGGCTGCGATGTCCTCGTGGCACCGTTATATGGGTCCCCGTTCGTGTTCTTTGGAACGGAGGGCGAGGTGCGGGGCCTCGACATCGAACTGGTTAACTACTTCGCAGAGGACAGTAACGTCACCGTGATATTCCTGCCTGTGAAGACGGCCGCAGACGTTAACAAAAGAGTCAACAGATGGGATCGGCTGCGGTACACGGTAAGAAAACGTGACAGATGCCAAGGGGGGAAATCAAAAAACATAAAACTTTAAGTTGAGTCCTTTAAAGAAATATTTAACTAATGCAGACTCGCCAACTGAACGTAATATCGTGTGGTAAATTCGACGTTATTTTTACCGTAAAATAAGCTTAACATGGACCTTGATGTCAATGGGCATCACGTTTGCATGTCACCTGTTCCCTGGGGATTTGACACAAAGTGTTACAGGCCGAGCAGAAAAAGGATATTGGCAGCATCTACCAGGATTTCGATCGGGCCGACGTGGTGGTAGGCGGCCTGTTCCCCACCATAGAGCGCTCGAGTGCCTTCGATCTTACAGCACCGTACTGCCAGGACACGATCTACGCCTACGTCACGGCCAGGATGCCCATGGCTGCCTGGCGGTACCCGTTTGGCGTCCTGAGGAAAAGGGTGTGGGCTGCGGTGTTTGGAACTATGTTGCTTCTAGGTGGGTGTGGAGACCT